TCCATCCTTGCGTGCTTGGAATCACTGCAACATGTTAGTACACTCTTGGATCATGAATTCAGTTTCAGATTCCATTTCACAGTCCATCGTCTTCTTGGAGAATGCGCTTGATGTATGGAATGACTTGAAAGAAAGGTTCTCTCAGGGCGATCTCATCCGTATTTCTGAGCTACAACAAGAAATATACAACCTCAAGCAAGAAACCAAATCGGTAACTGATTTCTTTTCTGAACTTAAAATTCTTTGGGAAGAATTAGATTTGTATTTGCCTTTACCAACTTGCACATGTCACATCAAGTGCTCTTGTGAAGCTATGCGCAGTGCAAGATCCAACCATCAACTGATGCAAGTTATCAGATTCTTGACTGGTTTGAATGACCAATTTACTGTTGTTAAGTCCCAAATTTTGTTAATGGATCCTTTTCCAAATATGAATAAGATATTCTCCATGGTTATTCAACATGAGCGACAACTTCAGCTTCCTATTTCCAATGATGAGTCCCAAACTTTGATTAATGTTGCTGATTCCAAGAAATATGGTGCAAGAAACAATACATTCAGGCATGGAGCTCGTGTCTGCACTTTCTGTGGCAAGACTAATCACACTGTTGAAAATTGCTTCAAGAAACAAGGTGTTCCACCACATATGCAGAAGCAGTTTCAGAATTCAGCTAACAATGTTGCATCAGATGGCAATGATGATGGATCTTCTTCTAATGGTGCTGACATCAAAAGTGATAATTCACCTATGACTCAAGGCCAATTCAATACTCTAATGGAGCTAATTCAGAAGTCCAGCATTGGCCAATCTTCAGGATGTGCTTCTTCTAATCAAGTTGTTGTTGGTCATCTATCAACAGGTAACACATCTCATTGCATGCATAGTAGTAGTAACAGTTCTTGGATCATCGATTCAGGAGCTTCTGATCACATATGTAGTTCTATCAGATGGTTTCACTCATATAAGCAAATTATTCCCATCAATGTTAGATTTCCAAATGGATAATGTCTTGTTGCTAGCTATTTTGGCACAATTCATTTTTCCCCTGATTTCATTGTGCACAATGTCTTTTTGCTTTCTGAATTTTCTTTAAATCTTTTATCTGTTTCTAAACTTTGTGAATCTTCTAATTGCAATGTATGTTTTCTCAACTCACAATGTTTTATACAGGACAAAGTCACTCTGAGGATGACTTGTTCTGCTGAGCAAAAAGATGGATTGTACTACTTAACACTAAGAGATAATGCTTCACCTGTTATAGCAGCCACAATCACCTTACCTGAAAAAGCCTTATGGAATTTTAGATTAGGACACTTATCCAATAACAGACTCTTGTACCTACATTCTAAATTTCCTTTCATCACAGTTAACCATAAAGATGTTTGTGATGTATGTTGTTATGCTAGACAAAGAAAACTTTCCTATACTGTTAGCAATAATAGAGCTGCTCATCCTTATGAATGGATTCATTTTGATATTTGGGGACCTCTTGATGTTCAATCATTGCATGGTCATTCATATTTTTTAACTATTGTTGATAATTGTAGCAGATTCACATGGATAACCTTAATGAAAGCTAAGTCTGAAGCTAGACAGCATGTCAAAAATTTTGCCAGTCTCATAGAAAATCAACATCAGCTTTTTGTCAAAATTATCAGAACTGATAATGGTGTTGAATTTAATATTTCTGAATTTTGTGCTTCTAAGGGAATCATTCATCATACCAGTTGTGTTGAATCTCCACAACAAAATGGTAAAGTGGAGAGGAAACATCAACATTTATTAAATGTTGGACGAGCCATTCTCTTTCAGTCAAAGCTTCTCAAGAAATTTTGGTCATATGCTATTTTACATGCCACCTTCATTATAAATAAACTCCCTACCCAAATTCTAAATAACCTTTCTCCTCATTTCATACTGCATAATGAGCATCCAGATATGCATAGTCTCAAAGTATTTGGGTCTTTAGCTTTTGCATCCACCTTAAATGTGCATAGATCAAAACTTGAGTCAAGAGCTCGAAAATGTGTTTTCTTAGGATACAAGAATCGAATGAAGGGTGTGGTACTCTATGATATTAATAGCCATACCATTCTTGTCTCTAGAAATGTCATACACCATGAACACATATTTCCCTATTCAAATACCAATTCTATTAACTGAGACTATCATCTTCACGAAGAATCCACTGACTCACCTCAACATGACCCTATCATACATGTTCCATCACAGAATATTGAACCTACTGTTGAAGAACATGACCATCACAATACCATAGCCAATGACACATTATACCATTCTAACACTGACCTTGAAACTGTAGAAAACACTGATGAGAACCATGACATCCAACATATGCCTGATACTGAAAATTGCAACACTCAGTCTAGACCTGTTAGAACCAAACAGACACCCCATTATCTCTCAGATTATGTGTGCAATACATCTGATGCATCAACAGTCAAGTCATCATCATGTACATCCAAAGTTATTTATCCAATTTCAAATTATGATTCATTACATTTTCTGTCTGCGTCTCATCGTGCTTTTGCATCTAATATCACTCTCACTCATGAACCAAAGACTTACAAAGAAGCATGTCTATCTGAACATTGGACCAAAGCCATGAAGAATGAATTAGATGCATTAGACAAGAATAGAACTTGGAATATAGTTGATTTGCCACCACATATCAAACCAATTGGTAACAGATGGGTGTTCAAAGTGAAGCACATAGCAGATGGCACGATAGAGAGGTATAAAGCGCGACTTATGGCCAAAGGCTACAATCAAATCGAAGGACTTGATTTTTTTGACACATTTTCACCAGTAGCAAAGCTTACAACTGTCAGAACCCTCCTTGCGACTGCAGCTATCAACAATTGGTTCTTACACCAACTTGACGTTAACAACGCATTTTTACACGGGGAATTGAAAGAAGACGTGTACATGACTATACCTGAAGGGGTTCCATGTCACAAACCTAATCAGGTATGCAAACTTCAGAAGAGTTTATATGGTCTGAAGCAAGCAAGTCGTAAATGGTATGAAAAGTTAACTGCTCTTTTACTGCACCAAGGGTACACTCGATCTGCTTCTGATTACTCCCTTTTTACTTTGAAAACGGATGCACATTTCATAGCCATTTTAGTATATGTTGATGACATAATCTTAGATGGCACTTCTATGACTGAATTTGATCGTATCAGGCTCATTCTAGATGAAACGTTTAGTATCAAAGACCTGGGAATATTGAAGTATTTTCTTGGCCTCGAGGTTGCTCACTCAAAGGCAGGCATCTCTTTATCACAGCGAAAATACTGTCTTGATCTCTTGCAGGAATCTGGTATGCTTGGATCTAAACCAGCTCCCACACCTCTTGATCCATCTGTCAAGCTATATGCTGATAGTGGAAAAGCCTTTGAAGACATTGGAGCTTATAGGCGTTTAATAGGTCGCTTGCTGTACCTTAACACAACACGTCCAGACATTACATATGCCACCCAACAACTCAGTCAGTTTCTTCACAATCCAACAATGGCACACTACCATGCTGCTTGCAGAGTCATACACTACTTGAAGAATAGCCCTGGTAGAGGAATTCTGTTTCGTAGGAATGCTGAATTGCAACTTCTTGGCTTCTCAGATTCTGATTGGGTAGGGTGTATTGATTCAAGAAAGTCTATTTCGGGCTATTGCTTTTTCCTTGGAACTTCTCTTATATTATGGCGTGCGAAGAAGCAAGATACTATTTCCAGATCATCTTCAGAGGCAGAGTATCGGGCACTATCTTTTGTTACATGTGAATTGCTTTGGTTGATAGCTCTCATGAAGGAATTGCACATCACATGTACCAAACTCCCTGTCATGTACTGTGACAGTCAAAGTGCAATGTATATTGCACTCAATCCGGTATTTCACGAACGAACCAAACACCTTGAGATTGATTGTCATTTAGTTCGTGAAAAACTGCAGCAAGGCTTACTTCGGCTTCTACCAATTTCAACTCATGAACAACTAGCCGATTTCCTAACCAAAGCTTTATCCACTTCAACTTTCAACAAGTTTATTTCCAAGCTTGGCATGATCAACATTCACCATGCTTAGCTTGAGAGGGGCTGTTAAGACTCTAGCTAAATGAGATAGATTTATTGTAATTCTGTGGATAAAATGAGTTTCATTAGTATTGCTATTTTTAGTCAGTTAGTTACATCTTTCTGATTGGTTGTTAAGTGATAGCAACACACTATATATAGATAAGGCTATCACACGTGTAATAATAACAAACTATTACTCTTTTGCTCATTATCTTCTCCCTTCTTCATTTTTCGTTTCTTGTTATTTTCTTCTTCAATGGTGAAATAGCTTCACCACAATAGTAATTAGTAGATGTCATTAATTAAATTTTGATGCCATTTTCTTTATCTACTAGTATGTAGTTAGTTATTTGTAGTGTAGGTTAGTAATTAGTAGATGTCATTAACTAAACTTTGATGCAGTTTCTTTATCTACTAGTATCTGGTTAGTTATTTGTAGTGTAGGTTAGTAATGAGTAGATGTTATTAATTAAATTTTGATGCCAGTTTCTTTATCTACTAGTATGTAGTTAGTCATGTGTACCGTAGGTTAGTAATGAGTAAATGTCATTAATTAAACTTTGATGTCAGTTTCTTTATCTACTAGTATGTAGTTAGTCATTTGTAGTGTAGGTTATAGCATGTTTCTCATAGGAAAAAGTGGAAGGATAAATATCCTAGTCTATTTGAGAAATCGAAGAAGAAGGAAATTTTAGTTAGCGAGGCGATTAGAACCGAGAATGGGGGAACGGTTTGGATCGGAGAATGGGTGGGTAGTCTGGAGGGGGAGAACACTAGGTTTGAAGAGGAAATTAGAGAATTGGTTAGCAGAATTTTGATCAGGAACGATGTAAGGATAGGTAGAGTTGGCATAAGGGTGAATATTCAGTGAAAGACACATATCAAGTGATCATGGATGAGAGATGGCAAATCCTATTGAAGATAAGAAAGAATTGACGCCTGTTTGGAACAAGATTGTTCTGTTAAAAGTGTCGGTTCTGGTGTGGAGATTATGGCAAAACAAAATTCCAAGTAGAGATAACTTAGTGAAGAGGGGGATCTTAGGGGAAAGGGTCCGTGTAGTTTCTAGTTCTTTTCTTTTGTTTTTCTACAGTTCTCTGCAGGATTGAATCAATTGGTCTGTTATGTGATTTAAATGTACTGGTGTGAATTTTATTCTGTATATGGCAATGCTTTTGCTTTATTATAATAATAAATTTAGTTTGGCCTTTTAAAAAAAAAAACTTTGATGTGGTTTTTTATCTTAATTAGTCATTTGTAGTGTAGGTTAGTAACTACTAGTAGACGTCATTAATTAAACTTTGATGTATGTTTTTTTATTTAAGTAGTTAGTCACTTGTAGTGTAGGTTAGTAATTAGTAAATGTCATTAAATAAACTTTTATGCAATTTTTTATCTATTTTTTTTTATTTTATAATTTCACTTTTTTAATTAATATGGAACTTTTTCATATTTATTTTTCAACAACTTCAACTCATATTTATTTTTTCTAGAATTATACCGGGTCATCAAATTTTTTTTATTGAAGTATTTCTTTATGAAAAACACATCTTGACTCACCACATCTACTTTCTAGCATTTACTCAAAGATCGACTAAACTATCCAAAATTCCCTTCTCTGGAAATTTATTTACACTACAAATTAGACACCATAGTAATTAACAAAATAACTCTTAAATTCTTCTACTTTTCTGAATCTATTCACTAAATGTTATGATATCATTGGTCTAAATTTGAATACAATTTGTTTCCCAAATCCCTCCTTACACACTACTGTGTCCTTTCTTCTCCTCTCTCTTTTACTCCCTTAAACCCTACCACTGCCGCCCCCTTTCTCTGCCCTTTATTCAAGCTTCCTTTAATCTTCCTTGCAGCTTCTTCATCAACATCAGCTTATGGATTGCAATCATCATTTGTTCTTTCATTTTCATTCTCTCTCACATTTTGAATTTAGGATTCTGAAAAAGATACAAAACCCTCTTCTCTCAATCTGAAAACCCTCTTCTCTCAATCCTCTCTCTATCACCTTATGAGAAATTGAATACAAAGCCACAAATTACTGTGAAATGGAATACGAAGCAAACTACAAAAAGATGAAGAACATCAAGATGAAGAACATGAAGCGGATCTTAATAAAGTTAGGGTTCAACATGAACGTTTAGAAGACTCATATTTAATCAAGGTAAATGTTTTACTTAACTTTTTTTTTTGTTAATTTGAAACATTAAAGCTTATGATTTTAGTCTCCTATAAATGATGTTTTCTTTGGTATACAGGACAAAGTCACCCTGAGGATGACTGGTTCTGCTGAGCAAAAGGATGGATTGTACTACTTAACACTAAGAGATAATGCTTTACCTGCTATAGCAGCCACAGTCACCTTACCTGAAAAAGCCTTATGGCATTTTAGATTAGGACACTTATCCAATAGCAGACTCTTGTACCTACATTATCAATTTCCTTTCATCACAGTTAACCATAAAGATGTTTGTGATGTATGTTGTTATGCTAGACAAAGAAAACTTTCCTATACTGTTAGCAATAATAGAGCTGCTCATCCTTATGAATTGATTCATTTTGATATTTGGGGACCTCTTGCTGTCCAATCCTTGCATGGTCATTCATATTTTTTAACTTCTGTTGATGATTGTAGCAGATTCACATGGATAACCTTAATGAAATCTAAGTCTGAAGCTAGACAACATGTCAAAATTTTTGTCAGTCTCATAGAAAATCAACATCAGCTTTCTGTCAAAATTATCAGAACTGATAATGGTGCTGAATTTAATATTCCTGAATTTTATGCTTCTAAGGGAATCATTCATCATACCAGTTGTGTTGAATCTCCATAACAAAATGGTAAAGTGGAGAGGAAACATCAACATTTATTAAATGTTGGACGAGCCCTTCTCTTTCAGTCAAAGCTTCCCAAGAAATTTTGGTCATCTGCTATTTTACATGCCACCTTCATTATAAATAAACTCCCTATCCAAATTCTAAATAACCTTTCTCCTCATTTCATACTGCATAATGAGCATCCAGATATGCATAGTCTCAAAGTATTTGGATCTTTAGCTTTTGCATCCACCTTAAATGTGCATAGATCAAAACTTGAGTCAAGAGCTCGAAAATGTGTTTTCTTAGGATACAAGAATGGAATGAAGGGTGTGGTACTCTATGATATTAATAGCCATACCATTCTTGTCTCTAGAAATGTCATACACCATGAACACATATTTCCCTATTCAAATACAAATTCTATTAACTGAGACTATCATCTTCACAAAGAATCCACTGACTCACCTCAACATGACCCTATCATACATGTTCCATCACAGAATATTGAACCTACTGTTGAAGAACATGACCATCACAATACCATAGCCAATGACACATTATACCATTCTAACACTGACCCTGAAACTGTAGAAAACACTGATGAGAACCATGACATCCAACATATGCCTAATAATGAAAATTGTATCACTCAGTCTAGACCTGTTAGAACCAAACAGACACCCCATTATCTCTCAGATTATGTGTGCAATACATCTGATGCATCAGCAGTCAAGTCATCATCAGGTACATCTAAAGTTATTTATCCAATTTCAAATAATGATTTATTACATTTTTTGTCTGCATCTCATCGTGCTTTTGCATCTAATATCACTCTCATTCATGAACCAAAGACTTACAAAGAAGCATGTCTATCTGAACATTGGACCAAAGACATGAAGACTGAATTAGATGCATTAGACAAGAATAGAACTTGGAACATAGTTGATTTGCCACCACATGTCAAACCAATTGGTAACAGATGGGTGTTCAAAGTGAAGCATAGAGCAGATGGCACGATAGAGAGGTATAAAGCGCGACTTGTGGCCAAAGGCTACAATCAAATTGAAGGACTTGATTTTTTTGACACGTTTTCACCAGTAGCAAAGCTTACAACTGTCAGAACCCTCCTTGCGACTGCAGCTATCAACAATTGATTCTTACACCAACTTGACGTTAACAACGCATTCTTACACGAGGAATTGAAATAAGACGTGTGCATGACTATACCCGAAGGGATTCCATGTCACAAACCTAATCAGATATGCAAATTTCAGAAGAGTTTATATGGTCTGAAGCAAGCAAGTCGCAAATGGTATGAAAAGTTAACTGCTCTTTTACTGCACCAAGGGTACACTCAATCTGCTTCTGATTACTCCCTTTTTACTTTGAAAACTGATGCACATTTCACAGCCATTTTAGTATATGTTGATGACATAATCTTAGCTGGCACTTCTATGTCTGAATTTGATCGTATCAGGCTCATTCTAGATGAAACGTTTAGTATCAAAGACCTAGGAATATTGAAGTATTTTCTTGGCCTCGAGGTTGCTCACTCAAAGGCAGACATCTCTTTATCACAGCGAAAATACAGTCTTGATCTCTTGCAGGAATCTGGTACACTTAGATCTAAACCAGCTCCCACACCTCTTGATCCATCTGTCAAGCTACATGCTGATAGTGGCAAAGTCTTTGAAGACATTGGAGCTTATAGGCGTTTAATAGGTCGCTTGTTGTACCTTAACGCAACACGTCCAGACATTACATATGCCACCCAACAACTTAGTCAGTTTCTTCACAATCCAACAATGGCACACTACCATGCTGCTTGCAGAGTCATACGCTACTTGAAGAATAGTCCTGGTAAAGGAATTCTGTTTCGTAGGAATGCTAAATTGTAACTTCTTGGCTTCTCAGATTCTGATTGGACAGGGTGTATTGATTCAAGAAAGTCTATTTCGGGCTATTTCTTTTTCCTTGGAACTTATCTTATATCATGGTGTGCGAAGAAGCAAGATACTATTTCCAGATCATCTTCAAGGCAGAGTATCAGGCACTATCTTTTGCTACATGTGAATTGCTTTGGTTGATAGCTCTCATGAAGGAATTGCACATCACATGTACCAAACTCTTTGTCCTGTACTGTGACAGCCAAAGTGCAATGCATATTGCACTCAATCCGGTATTTCACGAACGAACCAAACACCTTGAGATTGACTGTCATTTAGTTCGTGAAAAACTGCAGCAAGACTTACTTCGGCTTCTACCAATTTCAACTCATGAAAAACTAGCCGATTTCCTAACCAAAGCTTTATCCACTTCAACTTTCAACAAGTTCATTTCCAAGCTTGACATGATCAACATTCACCATGCTTAGCTTGAGAGGGGTTGTTAAGACTATAGCTAAATGAGATAGATTTATTGTAATTCTGTGGATAAAATGAGCTTTATTAGTATTGCTATTTTTAGTCAGTTAGTTACATCTTTCTGATTAGTTGTTAAGTGATAGCAATACACTATATATGGATAAGACTATCACACGTGTAATAATAATAAACTATTACTCTTTTGCTCATTATTTTCTTCCTTCTTCATTTTTCATTTCTTGTTATTTTCTTCTTCAATGGTGAAATAGCTTCACCAGAATAGTAATTAGTAGATGTCATTAATTAAATTTTGATGCCATTTTCTTTATCTACTAGTATGTAGTTAGTTATTTGTAGTGTAGGTTAGTAATTAATAGATGTCATTAACTAAACTTTGATGCCAGTTTCTTTATCTACTAGTATCTGGTTAGTTATTTGTAGTGTAGGTTAGTAATGAGTAGATGTTATTAATTAAACTTTGATGCCAGTTTCTTTATCTACTAGTATGTAATTAGTCATGTGTACCGTAGGTTAGTAATGAGTAAATGTCATTAATTAAACTTTGATGTCAGTTTCTTTATCTACTAGTATGTAGTTAGTCATTTGTAGTGTAGGTTATAGCATGTTTCTCATAGGAAAAAGTGAAAAGAGTGATGTGAAAAGAGTGGTGTGGGATTGCGAAAATTCTAAGAGTCTAGGTTCTCACGGTGTTAATTTTGGTTTCATTAAGGAGTTTTGGGAAATGATAAAAGCGGATTTGCTCAGGTTTATATCAGAATTTCACGCGTACAGTAGGCTTGCAAAAGGAATCAATAGTTATTTCATCACCTTGATTCCGAAAGTGGAGAATCCGACGAAGTTAATCGAGTTTAGACCCATCTCTTTGATTGCGAGCATGTATAAAATCATATCTAAACTACTTACAAACAGGCTGAAATCAGTAATGCACCAAGTTATTTCAAAGACTCAGTTTGCATTTCTGGAAGGGTGACAAATTGGTGATTGCATAATTATAGCTAACGAATTGGTGGATGATGCAAAGAGCAGGAAACGCGAAGCAATTATTCATCGGCTCAGTGGGGGCTACAGGCGGGGTTCAGTTATTCATCGGCCAATAACTGGTTCAGGAGTTTCGTATCGAGTTGATTATTGTAATGGTGAAGTCAGGTGGATAATTGGATATCTGCTTTGGTTATCTGTGTTATGGTTGCTCCCTGTGTTGAGGCGTTGCAACTTTTCGCGTTCGTATCAGTCCGGCAGCTTGAGTTGTAGGGGAGAGGGTCCGTGTAGTTTCTAGTTCTTTTCTTTTGTTTTTCTACAATTCTCTGCAGGATTGAATCAATTGGTCTGTTATGTGATTTAAATGTACTGTGAAATGGAATACGAAGCAAACTGCAAAAAGATGAAGAACATCAAGATGAAGAACATGAAGCGGATCTTAATAAAGCTAGGGTTCAACATGAACGTTTCGAAGACCCATATTTAATCAAGGTAAATGTTTTACTCAACTTTTGTTTTTTGAATTTGAAACATTAAAGCTTATGATTTTAGTCTCCTATAAATGATATTTTCTTTGGTATTTTTACCTTTTCGCATTGGTTTGTATTTTGATGCTTTACTGAAGAGTTGAGAATACCAACAGAATTGGAATCATATGATATGAAAGTTAAAGCCTAAAAATATAGTTGGAGCAGATGAATTGAAATCTCCTGTTTGAACTTATAAGATTTTTTTTCTATTTTATGTTGATGTAAATAACATAGGAAAGTTTAATTTTGTGATGTGTGTTTGGAATCATTTGAGATATTTGTTTATTATTTCTTTTTGGCTGCACAATTTGTCAATAATATACAGTTCTGATATTATTAACAAATTAGGATAATTTAGATTTAAATATGAGGAATTGTGACCCACCAACCATAACACGTCTTATGCCTCATAAATCAGTAGAATCTACATATTAATAGTGTTTTTTCGTGATAACTGATTAGCACATTTATACTTGTTGTATAGTTTTTATATTTGATCATCAAGAATCAATCCTTGTAAGAACACCCTGTTCTATTTCCTTTGATCATGTGGTTGGTGGCATTCAGAATGTAAAACAACCAATGGGCAGGAGGAGGTTTGAGGGGCCATTGTGGTTGAATTACGATGAGGGAGTATCAAAAATGTTTTGGAACATGGAGTCAACATCATTCAAATTCCACTTAAATTTTCCTATACGGTTGATACTAAATGAAGCTTTTCAATCCGAAAATCTGTGACTGCTCTATATTATTTTACTGCCTAGGTATGGTACAATTGTGACCAAGTGGCCAAGAGTTTGTTTGGAGATGTTGTTTGTTGATAATGTAGTTGGGTTGAGATTTCTATTATTTGAAGGTTTCTTGAAGATCGTTGCAACATTTGTCTTTTTTGTCCTTAGGATTTTCCACCAACCTGCTCCCCTAGGGAACTATGACTTGCACTTGCAGCTTCCATTTTACATCCCTTGGGTTCAAGTTTTCCAGTCTTCATGCTATCAAGCAGCCACTTGTGTTTGCACTCTACAATTTCTCCGGATTGAAGAGTTCGCATTGGGTGCATTTAGATTCCAAGCTGAAGAGTTGTACCTCAAAATTTGTTTGTCCTATTTTTAAAATATTTTTGAACTTGATTTCATCATTTTTTTTTTGGGTATTAATAATATTTGATTTAACACTAAAATATATAATAATTAATTTTAAATTATTTTTATTTTTAAAATAGTAAAATATTTTTTCACCTTCATATGCTTTTATATGTCTTTTTATCTTAAATAGAATGACATAGCATCCTTGGTAAGAGAGTGAGGCTTGCAAGTTGATGGAAGGTCTTGAGTTCAAATTTTATTAAAAATTATTCTTTTGGTATTTATTTTCTTTTGTGTATTTTTTCAATAAAAAGGATAAAAATATCATTTTCAATTATTTTGTTTTATTTTCATTTTCTATTTTAAGGATACTTTAAATTTTTTTTATTATTTTAAATCTTTGATTTTATACACTTAATAGTCAAGTTGTTAAAAATAGTTGAAATTTTTTTAAATCAAATTTTTATTAATCACCAAATCAATCACAATATCGTCTAGGTTCATAATCTTATCCTCCAAATTTCAATCAAATCTCAATTGATATAAATCTTCTAAAAGAATTATTTTTTTTAATTATTAAATTATTATTTTCGTATTTTTTAATTAATAAAATTTTAAAAATAATTTTTTTCACTTTTCAATTTTTAATTAAAAAATAACCAAAAAATCATATAAAATATAAACACAACAAAATCACATGATTTGTCACTTTCTGGTTGGTCACATGTTGACAAAATTGATTTTTCATTGGTCAGAGTTTGTAGACTTGCCGATCAAGTTAAAATCATAAACTTTGGACTTTTCTTGAGTGGACTATTTCTTTTTTGGAGTGTCTTTAACCTAATTTCAAATCTATAAATAGACCATCTTTCACACTATTTTTCATCTATAATTTCATAATCATCCAGAACTCACTAGTGTTCTCCTAAAGTTGTTGTTCTTCACATCGAAGAACAACAACAAATAAGCTCTAAGTCTTCATAATTTGGTATTTATCGAGGCAATCACATTGGAGAAAGGAAAGAAGCACGAAAAACAAAGGGAGGAAGCAACTTAAGTGGGTCACTGGATTCTAGGTTGGTAAAACTGAAACTTTAATTGTACGATTGAATATTCGCATATGTTTGAATTTTTGTCTGATTTTCTTAGTTCGTTGATCTAATATTTATTGTGAGATTTATTATAATAGGTTCAAACCTTTTTTATATTATTATATAATTATCTATTAAACTTTGTTATAATTAGTGACTAATATTTTGTATAATATATTAAGCTTTTTTTTCTCCAGAAATTAATTTTTAGAGATTATTTCAAACCCTTTTTCTAGTTTGTTTCATTAGGGAAAATTTAAAACAATTAATCTTCTCCTAACTCTATTTCCACCTGATGCATCTTATTTTCTCAGTTTTCTAACCCTTGTTTTTCATCCCTTTTAATTATCTATTTTTCTCATTAAACATCAACCCTTAACTAAATTAGACCTAGTTTTTTTAATTAACTAGAATTAGGATTTGACTTTAATTAATTAATTAATTAATTAGACATTAGGTTTTAATTAAAATTAATTAGTTTTAGGGTTTTAGCCAAATAATTATTCTTAATTAATTAGACATTAGGGTTTATAATTAGGATTTTATTTTTTTAAAATTAACTTAATTAATTATATATTAGGCTTTAATTATCATCCCTAACCCTAAATCATTTTCTAAAAATATAAAAAAATACTAAAACATTTTTTTCTAACATCTTTTCTTATTTTTTATTGTTATTTAAATTCTGAGACAATTGTATAGGTTGCAACTATCGATGTAATATCTTAGATTTATCTTTTCGCATTTTTTCCTATTATGTAACTGCTCACAGGATGTAATAGCGTAGGTTTACTTTCTCGCGATTTTTTATACTTATGTACCTCTTCTAAAGCCATGTAATAGCTTAGGAATTTATATTCCGCACTTTATTTTTGTGTACATATTTAGCTACTATTAACTAGGGTTTGCGTGACAAGACTAAAAATAATCTAGAAAAACTCTAATATTCAAGACAAATAACTGAATCAATACACTTCGTACACTTGCACCTTTAGGGTAACCTCTCTTGTTGCATTTACGAATATTGGTCACGTCCCTCGAAAGTGAGGACACTTTAGCAAAAGACCCTTGATTAAATCATCGTGTCCCTTTCGAATAAATATCATAATCTCTTGACGACCCTTCCAGTTGTCTATAAAATGATGTAGTCCCTTCGAGTTACATACAAAATGATGATAGTCCCTTCGATATAATTTCTAAAGTATCCTTACTTGTTGTCTTCGATGACCATACAATGACCCTACGCTTGTTCCTTCACATCCTATAGATAGGGATACCTACTGTTGTACCCCAAAATTTGCCCTCCCATATTCTTCAAGAAATTGCCAAGCCAAGTCACAAAATTCCCCAAGGGCTACACAGTGCAAAGGCCTCCCATACAGTCAAGATTAGGTTTTGAGTCTGATCAAGAAAAGGAAGTTTTAAAGGGCCCAATCAAGTCCTATATGCCTGAAAACATGGTCAAGCATCCTCATATCAAGTTTCAAGGCATTCAGCTCAAAATTGCACAGTCAAAACCCTAAATTACACTACAGTCAACTGTAGGGGTAAAATGGTCATTTGACAGTCAAAAGTTCAAATTTTTGGTCAACATATCATTTTGAAGCCACAAACATCATTTGATCAATGCTTGATCATGATTCTCAAAATTTGGCTCAGAAATCATCAAGATGCAAAAGTTCCCTTATTTGGACAGCTGAAAAGTCAACTGAAATTGACCAGGGCATAACTTTCACATGGATTATCAGAAAAATTCCATCCAAAGCTCATTTTGAAGAGAAAGACATTTCCTACAACTCATCTTCATACTTCAAGTCCAAGAAATGCTCTCACAAAAAGTTATCAATTTCAACATTATAGGTCATTTTCAAAAGTCAACAAAAAGGGACTTTAAGTCAAAGGCCATGACTTGAGATTGGTAAATCAAAATGACATGGGACCAAAGGCATTGGTTAGAGGACTCAAAGACCTTTCCAAAATGTCCAAAAACATGAGGAAAGCTTAAAAATTGAGCAAGTTATGCCTTGTGGAAGTTGGGAAATTTTTGGATATTTTGAAAAGTCAACTTTGATCCAAATGACCTAAAATTGCTAATGGGCCCATTTTTCTTCCATGATTCATCATTCTAAGCATGTGCACGACCACTTGGCCCAAAGGGAAGTATTTTCTCATTTTTTATTTATTTATTTGAATTTTTATTTATATTGATTCATTTAAATCATTTAAATATATGAAAAATATTTAATTCACCCTAACCAATCTTTTATACATGTTTTATGCTCAATA